TGGCTCTCAGAAGAGCCCCGGGCCGCTGGGAACGACTGCCTCCTGCCTGCCGGCCTGATCAAGGGGCAGGCCGGCTGCCGGGGCAGGGGCGTGGCCGAGGAGGGCACGGGGGCGGGGCCGGGCTGCGTGCACGGGTAGTGGTTCCTTCGGCCAGGGGGCGGGGCTGCACTCTCAGGGCCAAGACACCTGTGTGAACTGGTATCCAGTCTGATTTGCATTCTCCCCTAAGAGTTCTTCGTGACAAACATGAGCAGTATTCACAAGAACAGCTCGCCCAGCAGCGACATCTTTGGATGAGATGTCTGTGTTCCCCTGGAGTGGGTAGGAGCCGGTATCCAGGCTTATGGGTGTGGATGCTTCAGTCTCCCTACTTGGGTGCTGGCCTAGAGCCCATGGTGTCAGAGCAGGGGAACTGACCGGCTCATATAGTTCAGATGAGCCATCATTGAGGGACAGGAGCCCAGCAGGGAAGCAGACCACTGCTGTGTCCCAGAACTCCCCTCCCCCCCAATCTGCCTAACCTTGATCACAGCGTGTGCTGTCCCACCTCTGCAGCCTTTCCATCTCACCCCAAATCACATACTCTGATCTTTCTTGGACATTGCTTGGCTGTTATCCCTGCTTCCCCCCTGGACATTGTGCAATTCCCAGTCTCGGAGTTCAGATTCCCAGGCACTTATAAAGGTTTTGGTTGGGTGAGTGGGTCATTGAGCTGTACGGGTTGAGGATTGTGGGCTTTTAAGATTCACTATACGATTTCACTCAGGTGCCTGACCTGAAGGCATCCATTTCCTGAAGGGGACAGGGCAGAGGAGGTGCCGGACGGACTGTGAGGGGTCCGTAGAGTCTAGCAAGTCACCGAGGGATCTCTCATGGAAGCCAGGGTTCCAGTGGGGCCCTGACATTCCCCCTCATTTTGCAAGGACCTGGGGACCGGCAAAGGTCATGTCACCCCGGGTCAAGGCCTAGCCGACGCAGTGTTTATGCCCGGAGTCTGTCAGACCAGGGGTGCTGGCATGGGGGTTGCAAGACGACGTAGAAAATCTTGCTTCTGATGTACCTGTCTCCTTTTCTCTCATCTTGCCTTGATATGGTTTCAACAAATAATTTAAAAAGTATACAAAAGAAAGAGAATTTAAATGCAATGAAGATAAGACCAAAAACAAAACAAAACAAAACAAAACAAAACAAGACTGTGTGTAAGGAACAACTTCTTTCTCTGAGACAGTTCAGATAGTGAGAACAAAATGATGGTTCTGGCTTCACTGTGAGGGGAGGGCTGCCTGCTGGAAGCTCAGAAGTGAGTGCTTTGGAAAAGTTAACATGCCTGTTGGGGACGTGACTCCAGGCACATAATGCTTCACTTCCCAGTGCCCAGTCTTCTCTTAAAAGCCGGCTCTTACACTGGGAGAGTGCTGATTCACTGACTGGCAAGTTACTTTTATTTTGGCTCATTGGTTAGTTTAATAAATATTATTTTGGTCAAAGAATGCATGTGTCAGCTTAGAGTTGATGGGCCTAAAGTTGCTGTTGAAAAAGACATTCATTTGCTAATTTCTGTTAGTTCTTACTAACTTCTAGTGTAACAAATGCCATTTGTATGGTCTAAAAGGGTTAAAAATTTTTTGCTCCATTTTTGGTTAATAGGTTTAACTGTACACATTTAAAAATACCTTCAAATAAACAATTTCTCTTTTCTAACCAAGGTGTGACCTCTGAATACTATTCTTTTCTACACCACTTGAGAAGGTTCAAGCTTTTCACCCTAAAGCTTGGTTTATTCCTAGGTATTGGCTTCTGTCACATGAAAATATTTGACCACAGGCCTGTGTACAAGTAAAGACGTGGCCATTCCACACGTGAAAAAGAGATAAAAATATAACTCTGCAGGTTCAAATGAAGCCAGAACAGAAACCAAATTTTTCCTGGCTTAAATCAACAGCATCACAGCCTTATGATTTCACATGTACATTTTACACGAATGTATTTGGTTGAAGGCCCAAGCTGAAATTTTCATTTCTATATTCTCATCTGTTACTTTAAATTACAGTGTATTTGTAATTATTAATTTGGCTTAAAGACCAAGATTCACTGGCAGTTTTCAAAGGCATTAGTCCAAGGGAATTTGGATATATAATTTAGATATTAAACATACTCATTGTAAAAATAGTATGAATTCACACTGAGATTTTCCCATACTATACAAAATGTTGTGTTTCAAGCACTGTAACTATATTGAACTAAATTCTATTTGATCATACTAAAAAAATACTACTTGATCATCGTACATCAGTGTAAATATAGAATTTAGTGAGAAGTAAATAAAAAGCATAATTTCATCTTTCAGATGACTTACATAGAATTAAAATGTTCTTAAAATATCTAGAAGTAGTCCGATTTCACAATAATTTCTTGATATTACACCAGTTATACGTGGAAGGCTAGATGCCTTTAAATAAATAGTTTCAGCAATTCTAAAAATATAAAATATTCCTTTGAAAAATAGGACAAGTTTTGTTTTGTTTTGTTTTGAACATGGAGAACAGTTCGGCGAGGAGTGGGTTTCCTTCTCACAGATGAATTTTGCAGCATTTTGCAGCATCCTTCCCCCAGGAGCACGCTGACAGCTCTGTCATCCTGCATCTAATGCACCCCCGGGATGAGCCTCTAGGAAGGGGTCGAGCAGGCACCAATGCAGGCTGGTCTTCTCTCTTCCACACTCCTCTAGCAGCTCCCCATCCCTGGGTATCTTGCAGCAGTGCCTCATGTGCAGAACTAGAACTTCACTGGGAAAACGACATCCATTTAAAATGCAGCATTTTCATCTGTTGTTTGGGTGATTCTTGGTGCCCCAGTGATAGGAGTGATCCCTGGAAGAGTCAGAAGTGGAAAGAGTTAGCTACAGCCTCAAGTGTTTTAGTTCACACATTCAATTTCAAAAGCAGCAGCTCAAGTATATAAGCAAGCAAATTACATGGAATCAAAATGTGATTCTAAACAGGACAGAATGGGGAGATTGTCAGAAAGCTGCCTTTTGCTGAAGTTCACTGCTAATACTGTCTTTCTCAAACTATAAACTCAGTGGGACCTAATAACCTTTTAGAGTGGAAAAATCACCTTTCCAAAGTAGCCTGTATCTTAAATGCCTATTTCATATGTTCAACAGTTAACTGGAAGGAAAATCAATGCAAGCTGATTCAATGTACTTTTTAAAAAATCTCAACACATATTTCATTGTCACAAAATAAAATGTTAATGCATACCCCTAAGTATACGACGATGATATACTGGTCATCTCTTCACTTACAAAATGCTTTTACTCTCACAAACAAGCTGATCAATTCAGGCGTGCCAGGCAGTAACTTCCGGTAAGGAAGCGAACTGTTATGTGTGTAACAGATGTAATGAATGAGACAAGCCTGCAAATGATCAGGAGTAGAGCCCTCCTGGGGCTGGCCCAGCTTGTTTGAACCCTGTTTCATTTTCTTACACAGCTGTCTTCAGTTCAACTCCATACTACCCCCTCTTCCCAAATCCCTCATTCTGGCTAGGGTCCCTCACTGCTGTTTCTGTTTCTGCTACCATTTTCTTTAACTAATGCAGCAGTTTGTGCTTGAGACATTCTCCTACATCTGTTCAAGCCATCTTACCATTATTTAAACAGTTCTCAGTAACTTCCCTAAAGACAGCTTATAGTTAGATAATGCCCATGTCCTGAGACTTAGTTTGAGAATCTCATCTCTCTATTCCTAACTAAACATAAACTTCATGATCTAAGCTGAAAATGCACCATATCTTGGCTTAATGCTTTAGCTGTTGTCTGGATGCTTTGTACACATGTGTCTAAGTTTGCATGGACAGTCTTAAATTGTAAACTTGAGTTATACAGGAATTAGAATGTAATTCTCTGGCCATGGTGATGAACCAAGATCATTGTATAATATTTTGCAATGATGATTAAGAGAATGATGGGAACAGTAGCAGATCTGGATAAATACTGGTGCAGGAGCTAAACAATGCTTCCTATTTCTAACCGTTATTTCTCAGCAGGTACTCTCACTTTGTGTTCCAAGTAAAGGATGAAGAATCACTGGGGTGAACAAGGTCAGCAGATTACTTTCCTACAGTGCACTTCAAAGTCTTTAATATATTAATACCTGTTAACAAAAATGGAACAACATACACTCAAGAGTTTCCCAAATATATTTGGTCACGGAACTTTATTTTTCAGGGAGCATCTATTAAGATCTTTGAGGATATTGGCTATTTACAAAACCTATTTGGGAAAATACACTCTACTGATTCTAAGTACTAATTATAAATACTTCTGTATGTCCTGTGTAGTTTAGCATCCTCTATCCTTTGACTATGGATAAATCATTACTGTCACAGCTGATCTGATTCATATTTGGAATTATGTGTGTTTTCAGCTTGTGAAGTGTTAGGTGCCTATGTAGAGCCTGATTTATTTCTTAGAAACTAATTGGGAACACCAGTGAACAAGTAATGGCTTTAAGCAGTACCATGGGTTATTTTTACTAGTAAACCATGAAAACTCACTCCCAGTGATATATCCTATCATTGCTATTAGAAACTGAAGAGGGAATGTCATGGCCATGTGGCTCTTTAAATGGATTATTCATTTTAACTTGGAGCATTTTAAGAAAATTTGATATCATAACCATCATATATTGCTTTAACTTGATCATTAAATTCATGTCTTCATATTGTATCCACAATTCTGAATATAACTAAATAATTTCACCTTCATTATTCAGCATCTTATTGTCTATTTACCATAATAAGAAAATCTGAAATGTCTTTTAATACAGGAATATGTCTTGGAAAGTAGTAGTAGTATTTGATTTTTTAAAATCTCAGTAATAATATAATTCAAAAGCATAACCATACATTTCAAAGAAAGACTGAAATTATTATTTCTAAAAAAGGAAAAATAAGACCTCTTGTAAGAGCCTCCCTAAGTTCCTTACACTGATACTTAGTTGATTCTCTGCAAAAATTTGAAGACAGTCATAGCACATGATCCCGAGACTCTGAGAAAATGCACATGCAGCAGTGGTACGTATGATTTTTGCCCCAACACAAGCAAGGGCACTTGAAATAAGAAGTTGCCAAAAGTCAAGAACAGAGACATTCACACCATCCGGGGAAGGCTGAATGTATTCAGATCAAGAATAGAAAATGAACGATCCAAATCCCTCCAGGATGGTGGGAGAAGAGTGGTGACGGAGAGGGTGATTTCTATTAACCATATGCCTTCATTTCTCTGAAGTTACAAATCACAGCAGAAATAAACTTACTAAGGTAGAATTTTGGAAATACATTGTCAAGCCAAAATAACAAGCAGTTGAATACGCTTATGTGTGATTCATAAGAATAACTTGTTGAAACAGAAGAGAAAAATAGGCTGGAGACTGAATTAATGTCAAAAAAAAGAATCTAATTTTCATATAATGACCATAACAGGGTGTTTTTAAGACCACTTTCTCTGGGAAAGACTTTGAGAATAATTTAAATAGTGGTCACCAGATAGCTGAATCAGCTGGACAGAAAGGTTGTATCTCCAGGCAGAAAAGGCCACTTTGGGAGAGCAGACTCTACAGGCCTCCAAAAGCAACTTTAGGCATATAGGATGTGTAAGTGGTGGCTCACTGTCAATCTGATGATTCAGCTACCAGTGGGCTCCTCGACAATGTCCAGAGACAATTCATTTATAGTAGACAATGGCAGCCCCCATATCCCCTCATTCAAACCCATTCAAAATATGCTGGCCTGACTTCCAACCACCAGCATCTGCATTCCTTTTCCTGAGGATTTCTCTGGCCTCTAGAATCTGCTTTGTCCACTCTTAGAGGCCAGAAATGCCAGGAAACTAATGGCCCTGGGGAAAGAGGCCTCCAACAAGGGCTGATGGGAATCAGAGATCAGGATCCCAGCTCCCTCAGCCCTGGAGCACCCAGATTCCCAGTGGGAACAAGTTCAATTGTGGTTCAATTACCACAATGGCAATTTGGTTGAAAATGAAATCTTCATTGAGTTTTTCAATACCAACCAGAGTTTTCTGGGATTGCCTCTCAAATAGATTAATGTAAAAGCAGCTTTTGGAAGGAAAGAGCTCTCTGCAGGAGGTCTCTTTTTCTGGTCAGTAACCTTAAATTAGGCACCCCCATGCCCTGCTCAAACCCAGCCCTACAGCACCTTTCAAATCTTTTGATCACACAATACCTTGTCTAACAGGTTGGTTGCTTCCTAGATCAAAGAAGTAGAAATGGAGACTAAGTAATTAACAGATGACAAGATCTCTTTCCTAGCTTCCCCTTCAGTCATCTTACGAACAAACTATGTGAACAAGATGGCGTCTAAAGAAAAATCACAAGAGGTCGACAAGCTTGCATATTGGGGGGGAGGGGAGAGAAATGATT